AATGTCCTTGCAGAGCCCTGATGTACTTCTGGCCTTGGCAATCGCCCAGCTCGTACCTGCCTTTTGCGTTACTCCGAACGACCTCCATGAGGTCGCCTGCCGTGGCGTGCTGGGCCTGCACTCTTGGCCATCTCAGGACGTCCTCTAATTTGGCCCAACCAGCTGAAGTGACGCTGATGTAGGGTTTATGTCCGTGCCGGAGCGAAGCTGCTAGAGCCTTCGAGACTTCGAACGAGAAGCTGGTCTCCGGCTTCGTAGAGGCAGTGCAATAGTCCCCTAGATCGCCTGGTTGGCCCTCCCAGGCCACTATAGTGGAGCTACGTGGCGTTGTTGAGCTGTGGTCAATCTCTGACGCCATGGTCGGGGGAGAAACTCCACCCTGTGAGCTGGACGCCTGCTCACAAACCGGAAGGGGAGCAACTCCTCCTTCCTTGACTCCACTTGACGAGGCTTCGCCAGGCAGTTCGTATCCCAACGCCAAAAAGGATTCCCGTGCTTGTCTCAGTGGTATCTCCAACAAGCCACTCCACTCTCGGAGGTACTCACCTAAGGTGAGTGTCTCCTTGGTTGATATTTGCAGTAGCAGCGCTCGGATTTTGACTGCATCATAGGAGTATATCAGTTGGTTTGTTTTCTTACCACGTTTTTGCGATCCAGAGTGCGCAGCCTCCACCTCAAACATGGGCCGCACGAATATGTGCCGAGGTCCTATCCTCACCAGACAACTGTAACCGGCAGCAAGATGCCTGTTTGACATCTTGTGGAGATACACACCTGGTCGTGCCTCGAAGCTTCGCGTGCCGGAGAGGTCAGGTGTCGAAGGTAGTAGCCTGCCTGTGGCCAGTATCCCATGCAAACATTCCAGGTGTGTGCCGTGGAACGCAACCTCGCTGTCCCCTGCAGGAAGAATGTTCGGTGAAGAATACTCAAAACGAAACCACCCATTCTCCTCAGCTGTGGGATATCCAAGCTTCGGCTGCAGAGGCTCATTGGCAAGTCCCCGGCGAGAGGCCAGGAAGGTCTCCAGGAGAGCATTGGCTATCTCCGGGGAGGGTCGTTCCGCCTGATTGAGGCCATCTCGCAGCTGCTGAGTTACTGTCACCATAATTCGGTGATTGTTCAGGTCAGTGATGTTCCCATCACAGTCTGAAATCAGACTGGGAAAGGGCGTATAACCAGCTGACTGAAGAACTTTGATCGCAGCTTCCGTGATTGGGTCCCCCGAGGGAGGATCTCCACTCTTGGCCTTTGCTGCTGGGGGAGTATCTCCACCCTCGCTTTGCCCTGTACTTCTTTTCTTGGAAGGAGGAGGAGGGGGAGTGACTCCACCCTTTCCGCTTCCCAGCTCTTCCTGTCCACCAGTACCTTTAGAGACTCCTTTATATGCAGGATAGCTTTCGCCGTGAGCACGAGCGGAGCGCCTCCACTGGCGCAGGAAATTGCGATACGTGACATGCGGAAGTTGTTCACGTATCCGTCGCTGGCAGAATTCCTCGTACTCCGCTTGAAACGAGGGATCCTGTGTTGACTCAGGTCTGGACATGATGCTGAGTCTTGAGAGAAAGCTGCGGTTGTTGGCTCAAGCTGGCTTCTAAGCAGGCAGCTGGGCCTAGGCCACTGAGCTCCAGGCCACCACGAGGAGACCTGCATCACGGATGGTGGATTGCTGTTGGCTCAGTGTGGCTCAGTGCAGGCAGAATTATTGCAGGCAGCGACTCAAAGCTTTTAAAAACCCCTAGGGAGAGACTCCACCAGCTGTACACCCCTCGTTGGGGGAGAAGCTCCACCAACTAGGGGAGAAGCTCCACCTGTGACTCTTTACTAGTTCAAAAACCCCTGGGGAGTAACTCCGCCAGCTCTACGCCTAACGAGGGAGAAACTCCTCTATTTGTTACAGGAGCTCTTGCTTAGGGAGCATCTCCTCTTCTCACTTGGCTCAGGAAGTGGCGGCCATGAGGTGATTGTAAGATACCTCCCACGTCGCCGAGGCCAGGTTAAGTTTGCCGTCTTCAGCAAAAAACTGAGACCTCAACGTCTGCACATCAGCTTGATAGGCCTCTTGGTACTCAGCAGGGAGATATTTGGCGATGTATCCCGTGATATGGGATTCTCGTTCCATTATCTCCAAATCGTACCGGTGGTAACCGAGGCTTGCTGGGGAAATCAGGTCTCCAGCGTGGATGCGTACCAGAGAGAGGTACTGCATCCCCTGTTCGACCAGGGCTCTTCGTCGTCTGTGCCGGATTTGTCCCCATTCATCGATCCCCGAGATGGAGTGGAGGTGTGTGAGCACCTGTCGAATCCCACCTTCCGGGAGTATCTCCACGGCAAGGTTCAGGATCTCATCCTTAGTGATGAGCCCAAGCCCCTTCACTCTCTCTAGCAGCTCTGTGAGCACGGCCCAGGGGAGTATCTCCACACCTTGGGACTTCTGGTGCAGAAAGTGCACCGCTGCTATCGTCGGGAGCAGCATCATGGCCAGTCGAGTTGGCGTCTGATCATACATGGTCGAGGAGTTGAACCACAGTCTAATTGATTAGCTTTTGAGCCTGAAAGCTTCGTCATGGAGGAACATGTGCAGCAATTCAAGCGGTGCCAACATGAGTGCAGTGCTCCGCGGGAGGGCCTCCTCGCCATTCGTCGAAGACGCTTCAAGCTCCTCACGAGCATGAGCATGCTAGGGCAAGGAGCTAGGTGGGAGCAACTCCTCTTCGTAAGATTTGCTTCTACTGAGCTCTTGGTTCCAGTCCCGCCCACTCGTGGGGCAGCGCTGAAGAGATCTTGTCCTCTGGAGAAGATCAGGAGAGCAAACCGCGAATCTGACGAACCAGCGGCGATGGCTGAGTTCCCAGTCGCTGAAAATCCGCGTTTATGAGCGAAAATGCAGTGTTGCCAATTAAGGACTGCAAGGTTTCCTGCAGTTCAGATGTGGCCGCCCTGGTTGACAGTTGGATCTGGATTCGGACCGGACCTCCCGTCATGCCTTCGGTCAATGGCCGCGAAGTTTTGAAGAGCTTGATGTGTTCCGGATCTGAGGAAATTCTAGTGATTGCGTCCCCCAGGCCTGAAACGACTTGAGCCGTGGTGAGAGGGTCTTCCACCGTCTCGATCATCTTCTGATCGGTGGGGCTCCACTCCAGGAACGGCCATTCGCCGTCCTGCGTCATCAGCTCATCGTTCTGCAGGCGCTCCTGTATGCTCTTATCACGGCTGGTAGTCACCAATCTCTCCTTGAGTTCACGGAGAAACTTCAGGGTCAAAGCTGCCCTGGGAGGAATCCCGATGGGACTGTTCTTGACTCGCTGAGATTCCTCGTAAAGATGAGGTAGGATCGAGTGATCTTCGGTTCGGACATAAGAGACGAATGTCACATCCGAGGCGATCGCTGTGATTTGCTCATCATGTCGGAGCGCCAGCCGCGCTATTGCGTTGATCAGCTCTTGCGATACATTGCCTTGTGCCTGGTGATTGTTTCCACCGTTCCCGTTTTGCAATCTGGCTGCTCCTCTCCCTCGACCTCCGCTTCCTCGTCCCCTGCTTCTGCCCCCTCTTTTGTGTCCTTTGCCGCCCTGCTGGGGAGTAACTCCACCGCGTTGGCGTTTCAGGGGAGAATCTCCTCCTGAGGGGGCGGCCTCTCCCCTTTTAGAGGAGAAGCTCTCATCCATCGAGGCTCGCTGGAAGAGCTCTTGCAGAGACATTGTTCGGGTGAATGTCTACGGCGTGGAGCTCGTGAGAGGCGGCGCTGCGAGCTAAGAAAATGACGTAACAATTTTGTTGCAGCAGGGGATCTTCAAGGGTACAGGGGCTAGGAGGGTGAGAGTCATTGCCAATATACCAAGAATCTAGTTTGTGTACTGCTGCTCGATAATGACCACTAGAGGCCTCCATGCCTAGGTGAATGATTACTGCCTCATTGTCCCGTCGTTTGAACCAAAAGGCAGCGGCTCTAGGGTGGCAGGGCATAAGGTGTAGGGAAAAATCAAATCGCAAACGTGGGTGGGTCACAAAATTGTCTCGGACCCGAATTGGCCACGGAGGAGAATCATTCGTTCGGCAGAACTCCCAGCTGTGCAAACTCAAGGCCGTTGGCAACCGAATGCAAGCAAAGGAATGAGCGAAGTGCAATCGAGAAAATTCCATTTCATTTTCTTACACAACTTTTCCCCCGGCCCACCCGCCCGGCTCAAACTACGAGACAATCCTTTTGTACGAACTTTTCCACACTTCCTGAGCAACAAAGCCTCCGGGTCATAACGAAATCATCAAGTGCACACCTAAAGGAGCGAAGGTAAAATGCATGATAAAATCAAGTACGAAAACATGATACTGAATACCGGAAAATCGTTCGTACCCCGCCTCAGGCTACTTCGCTGGGGTAGACTGTCCATGAACGATTCCGCAAAGTACAAAGCAACAGCTTGCATGATGTTAAACACGCTCCAATGCACTTGATCATGACTTAGTCATTTGAGATAACGTGTTTGGGCTCGCTTTAGCCGGCTCAAGGCTTTGCTCGAAGTTTCTACCTAAGACTGTACACACAACACTACGCGTACTTGTATCACAAGGCGTGGGCCGCCGAGGACACAAGATGCTTGACTGGCGCAAGCGGACGCCCTTCAAGTTCACAAGAAAAGGCGATTCATGTTGGTTCATGCGCTTTACGCGCCCAGTCTGCAAAACCAATATTGCAACGGCCTAGTTACCGTTGTGGGCGCCAATCGCGCTCCATCGCAGCTGAGAGCCGCTCCACGGCTCAAGGAAATGTGTCATCATCATTCGGATTGGCAGCAAAATGCTGCACGCCATTGTTCAAGTGATCACGCCGTTGTCACCGCAAGTTTTCAAGCTATATACAGGATCCATCAGCAGCCTGTCAATCGGTTGCGCCGTAGCACAAAGGACTGACTATGTACATGGCATCCAATGTGCCTCATGAGCATTATAAAAGCAAGATTCAAGCGTACGGCATGGCATCACAAGAATTTCGGCGCACTAACTCAAGGTTTGCACATGCGGCATGCGCGGTACCCGCGCTCGACTGCAACTGCACGTGACACCTCGGTGACGCCTTGCGACTGGTTCAACTTGCCACATGTGGCCTTATGGTAAGCATAGCCCTGACTTGTCGAGATCCACACGCCATCGGCAGTATGCCCCTGGGGATTCCTCCTCCGCGGCACCGGGCGCGCATACGGGATCCTCTCACTGGCCTCGCTGCTGGACCGCACTGGGCGATCTGTCGACGATCCTGGCATGTTACCCTTTGACCCATGTGACTCAAGTGCCCCGGGACTCTGGGCTCGCTCATCTGCATCATCAAACGTTGGTTTGCTCGTGCTCTTGGCACGTGCACCGCGAACTGGCACAACAGATTTGGCCTTTGGCTCTGCAATGTGACTCGCCTTCACATCAACTGCAATCTCGGATCCAATGCGCACCTGAACGGATGTTTCCGGACCTGTGACACGACGGTCACAACACATGAATGCGCACATCAAGAATGCAATGATTGCAAAGCACTGGCACACCGCAACACACGTCGAAGGGTATGCTTCATACACTGCAGATGCATAGCCGACGATTCGCACAAAGGTTTCAAGAATGCTATCAAGAAAGCTCAAAGTCGCGTCGTCGTCATCATTGGCATTGTTTTCGTCTTCTGCACCCAAGGTTCCTGTTGCCTGCATGGCAATCAAGATAACACTAAGGATGCGGGCGGTATTGGCTGTGGCATCGCCTTTCGCAATCTTTGTCAGATCCTTGCACACACTGCGAATTGCATGGACATTCTGCTCAGCATTCAAGATTGCATCTCCAACCCTTGCATAACCGTTTCGGGAATCCTTAAACCCAATCAAGCCAAGCAAGAACTCTGTCCGCTGCACTCCAAGAAGCTTCGTGCCAATGTCCGCGACATTGGTTCGCGTGGGTGCCGGCAGCACCTCCAGCAATCCTTCCGCAACCCGTTGTTGCGTCCATAGCAACTTCACATCAAGATGGCGCACACGCCCGACCCCGGCGCGTTGAAGGATCGCGCGGGCAGCGGAATTATCAATCATCAAGAGTGGTGGTGTCGTTGGCTCTGGAGACACAAACCGCATCATGCTTGCAACAAGGGTTCCATCTATCGCGGCTGACACCGCGGCACCAAACTCGGATTCCGCACTGGAGAGTGCGATCGACTTTTGCGTTTTGGACGCTGCATGGATAAACTTGCTGTTGCAAAGGATCACAGACGATGAAACAGAGCGTCGGGTGGATCGGCATCCACCCCAGTCAGCATCACTGAACGTCTCGATGACGTTGATCCCTGGGCGATGCACTTGCACACCGTGTCCGATGCCTCCGGCCGTAAGGCATGCACAGTACCCCTCAGTGGCACTCAAGTAACCGACCAAATGCCGTAGGATTGCCCATGCTCCAACGGTCGGGGACGACATAAAGCCTGACAAGTGGCGGATGCTGTGCATAGCATGCGGGAGGTCTGACTGCAGGTAAAGCAACACTCCAACGGCTGATCGAAAGCGAAATGCCTGATCCTGGGACAATGGTGCATCGTCCTCCTTCTCCGTGGGCAACCGCCCGGACGGGAGAGGTGATTTTCGGTGCTTGGGATGGCCGCACAAAGATTTCAACTTTTCCAAGTGTTTTGGGCTCACCTCAATCAGCAACTCTGTGCTCGACAAAAGATAATGCCGCTTCTTAAGAAAATGAACCTCTTGGCCTGGCACCGAAATCAAATTCACAGTCACTTTGTAGTCCCTTTCAAGATGATCGGTCATGCACTTGATCACACTTGCAGGTCCTGTGCCAAGCAAATCATCGACGTGCACAAGTCCCCCGCCTCCGCCGTCACTCGGCTGGAACCGGAAAAGCGATGGCACCTCCTGCATCAGCTCCACGCGGCTTCCCGCTTTCAAGGCATCGGTAAACTGATAGAACCAGGTTTGGCTCCCTTCACGCTGGCCCGGAAGGAGCCTGAGAAGCTTGAAATACAAGCGTTCGCCATTGATCGTGACACTTGTGCATGTGTTCTCCGCCTGCGGGCAATTCAAGTAAGCATCCGTAACATCTAGTGATACCAGTTGCCAACCCTTATGGTAGTTGTCAATGAAGACACACGGGATGATCTTGCTTTGCAAAGCATTCGACGCAGGGGAAAACAGATCGGTACGGCCTGGGCACAAAAATGCAAAATCACGTGCCACAAGCCTGGCTCGCCGAAGCCAGTATGTGCAACCTGCAATGGTCTTGCATCGCCATGTTACCACAAAACGGGTGGTCAAGTGCTTGTGCTCTGGCAGGATCTGTGCACAACGCTCAAGAGCAGGGATCCCGAGGAGACGTTCAACCTCAAACTGCATTGCAACTGCATCTACATGTGCAAGCTGCTCAGCGCTCAGCTCTGGCTCATGCTCACTCCAAGGGATCAACAAGCACTCAGGAATGCTTGACTCCGGCCGCGTGTCATCATGGGCCCCATCGGCCTCCGCGGCATAATCAAAATCCTCTAAAATTTCACCCTCAAATTCAAAATCATTCTCCTCGTGGTTGTGGTACATGTCGACACCTTCAAACGTCACAGCATCAAGACGAAGCCGTTTGCGTGGCTCGTCTGCACTCGGCTCAGCAGCCCTGGTGGGCACACGAACAGCCGCTGGCTCAGACGAAGAAGCAGGATCGGACGATCCCGTGGCATTTGGTGCCTCGGCTCGCACTTCAGCGTCCGGCACTACAGCCAGAGGCGAACTCACAACCTCTGCATCTGAAGGCGCTGCTGGCATTGGCGTAACGGGACCAGTGTCCTCTTGCATGGGTGTCGGCGGCTCTGGCACAAAATCACTTCTGATGGCTGGCGGTGGCACAAGCTCACTCAACGGTGCACTGTCAGGAAGAACATAGCCGGGATACGGAAGTGGGTCCGCACCGGCCGGGGCATTTTCATCTGGCTGTGGCTCTTGGGGTGTTGGATGTGCATCATGTGACTTCTGCGGCCGGCACTGTCCAACTTGGCCCGCAAGGAAAGCAGCCTGGGAGTAAGGATGGTCACGCAGGCGCTTTGTAAAATCAGCACTCCTCAAGTACATCTGCGGTAAGCGACGAATCGACCTGCAAGCAAGAAAATGTCCCGAAGCAGTGAAGATTATGTGACCGTCGCTACATCCAAGTTTTCCCAACCACAAACCTATACCCCAACGTGGCTGTCCCTTCACGGCACTTTTAACTCTTCCATACACCGTCTCACCTATGCACACAAGCTTGCCCTGGTAGGGTCTTCCACATGCCAGCTCAAACGGCGTCTGGCCTTGCGATCTCGTGAACCGCTGTTGGATGAAGCTTGCATGCCGCCATGCCCAAGCGTGCATTGCATCTAAAGATGCCACCTTGACACCTGCACGCGACTCAAACTCTGAAAGCAACGTGTTGGTCAGCTGTCGGAGAGTCTCGACCGCAGGTTCGGCCGCATTGGCCGCATGATCATCAGGCTCACTCTGCTCAAGATGGGTCCGCAATCCAAGTCGAAGACGCTGAGCTTGCACAAGCTTTTGCAACGACAAACACACTGGCTCTGGGTCACTGCGCAGTGTGACCTCGCTGTGGCCTAAGGTCGCGATCCACCTCGTAAGCTCTGATGTCATGTACCTGAGCTGCAAATTTCCGCCCTTAGCGGGAACAGGCCAAGCTTGATTTGCACCGGTAAAATTGCAAGAGGCAACCAAGCACGCAAGCTTTTGTTCAGGGGTTTCAGGCCGACTCGTGTAAGCAAAATCAAAACAAATTGTCGGATGCTCACGGTCGCCAATCGGATGCCTCTCATGCCTGTCAGAACGGGCGCGATGCTGTACACATTCAGCGCACCATGCTTGGAATGGCATGTGCGTCAGCGAATGCTTGCGCACTTCATCCTGGGATGGCTCTCGCACTGGCGCTTGCTCGCGAGGCAGCTGCACATCGGCCGGGAGGTTGGCCCACAGAAAATCATTTCGCGCAAGAAAATCTCTGATCCTCTTAAGAACCGTTGCCTTACCACCCGACTTGCCTATCCCAAGACTCTGTGCAGCAGTACGAAGCGTGGCGAGGGTGCAATCAAGATTCAGCTCAATGCCATCAACGACAACAGGTTTCTCACCGGGCGCGTTACCCGCTGCACCGGGAGACTCGCCTTCATCTGCATCTCCTTCGTTGGCACCCAGGCCAACGCCACCTGCATCAATGTTGACATCCAAGTCCATGGCAGCATCGGGAGACGGGTCACCGTCTGACTCCTCTGGCACTGGCACTGCCACAAGCGGGTGATCAGAGTGCTCAGGGAACAACTGACGAACATCAAGCCGGTACGTGGAACCAATCGTGATGGTCTCATACATCTTGGGCCTTGGAAATGCAGCCTCGAACCTAACCTCAAAATCATCCAAAGTTGACAGATCCTCGTTCAGCGTATGCAAAAGCCAGCCACGCGGGCTGTTGTGCAATGTGGTCCTGAAAGCAATCGGCAGGCTGGGGAAAGCCAATGTGCAATCAACGTAGCACAGGCTTGTGCACTTGTTTGCCACCAGACCTGTGTCAATCTGCACAAACGGCGCCTTGAGCGACAACCAAGGGCCATGCAACGTCACTGTCAATGCATTCACGTGAAAATCGCCCTGAGGTGTACTGGACTGCGATTGTGGTGCATGAGGTTCGCAAGAACTGGTCTGCGATTGTGGTGCATGAGGTTCGCCAGAACTGGTTTGCGATTGTTGTGCATGTTGTTCACCGGGGCTTGCTGGCGGATGCCCCGCCTGCCCCGCCTGCGGTGCATCGCTCTGCATGACTCTGATGCTACCCCTGACACACAGGGAGTTGTGCTTCATGAACACGGGGACCCCAAAGGCTTCATCTCCCTCACGGAACAGCTTCAGCTCATTGTTCACACGGCCAACCGTAAACCCTTGGCGGTAAAGCTTGCCTAAGCTCAACAAGGGGGTTGTCACGGGGCCTATCAACCAGGTTTCCGTTATGGTCAAGGGTCCAAGGTCAAGCTTTGCATTGCGCACCGACGTAGGAGAAATCACATTCCCCTGTGCATCACGGAACGTTGCTTGCAATGGCGGCGCTGAGGTCCCGGTGGAACCAAAGGCCGCAGGAAGGCACGAGTGATCGGCCCCACTGTCAAGCACAATCTCGATGTCCTGATGGATTGCACACACCTGATGCTCTGGGGCAAAAGTCACAACACTCAAGGATCCATTCGCAAACGTCCATTCCCCGTCACTGTCGCTGTAGCTCATGTCATACATTGGGGCAGCCGGCTCAAAGTTGCGCACAAGGGAATCATGCACAGTCATGGCAGGGAGTGTGGCATGCACAAGATCAATGAATTCACTCGGGAACGGCTCGAGTAGCACCAAGTCCGGTTCGGGCGCGGACGTCGCCTCGCTCGGGTAAGGCTCGAGCAGCACCGGGTCCGGTCTGGGCGCGGACATCGCCTCACTCGGGTTCGGCTCGAGTAGCACCTCATCACTCGGGTATGGCTCGAGTAGCACCTGGTCCGGTCTCGGCGCGGACATCGCCTGGGTGATCATGTGAATGCCTCCACTGCCGCTGCCGGTGCCACTGCCAACTGCACTCAAATCAATCTCAATGCGACGCACTGCTGTGGTGGCCTGAGACGCTGCCTGGGACGCTGACGGCCCCACGGTGGATGCTGCAGCTTCCGACGGAGTCGGATTGTTGACAACCTGATGCACATTCGCCTGACCTTTGCTGCGCCAACACTCTGCGGCATAATGGCCTTTACGACCGCATTTGTAGCACTCCACCTGTGACTTGTCGCCTTTGCCCTTGCCTTTGCTTTTGTCCTTGCCGGACTGCTTGCCACCTTTGCCTTGATCCTTGCCTTTGCCACCTTTCGGCTTGCCTCCTTGGGGAGTCTGGGCATGCTGACCTTTCTTGCCGCCTTTGCCTTTAGGTTTGCCCCACTGCACGGCATCAATTTCCATCTGCGTTGCCTCATCATGCCTCTGAGCTGTGGCCTCGCGGACCGTCCCAAAGTAAGAAACAGACTGCCACTTGAAATGCTGACGCTCGATCCTCAAGCTTGCCTCTCGCACCTGAGTGTAAGTGGCATCCTCAGGCAAACTGGCATATATCTGATTCTTTGTGTTGGCAGGCAAACATCGCAGAAGAAGTGCAGTTTTCACGCTACCCTGAAGGGTCTCTGAAGCTGACTGTTCATATGAAGTGAAAACCCGCTCCAAATCAAGAATCTGCGGAAGCAAGGCCTCGGAGGGCTTGAAAGAAGGCACCTGGGTGATCGCTGTCAAGATGCCCAAACTGCGCCCCTGAGAGCGCGGGGCAAAGAGGCTCATAAGCTGACGCAAAGCTTCCAAACCGTTTCCACTCTCGGTCTGTCGCACAATCATGTAACCTCTGCCACGAATGAGTGCAGCCAAAAGCGAATACAGTTGCCGCGACCTGGCTTGCTGTGCAATGGTGCCCTGGCCCTTTGCTATCACTGAACCAGGGTTTGCCTCCAAAGCTTCAAGGTCGGGCCCATAGCCCGGATCAAGAGCTGAAAGATACTGCTGAAAACTCCAAAACCAACCCGGCCAAGACGTGTGCTCCTGCTCTCTAGTGCTAGCTGCAAAGACCTCAGGCTTCGGCAACACACGCAACATGTCCTTGCCAGTCAAGGTTGGCGGACCGTCCCGAGAGGACGTCGCCGCCGCTGCCGCTGCTGCTGCTGCATCTGATGCTGCACGGGTTGCTTCAGCCAACCGTTCAAACAAAGCATTTAGCTGGGCAGGGCCTAACACTATCTGACCTTGGGAAGGTGAAGCAGCTGGACTCGCAGGGAAAGGATTACCGGGCATCGGCTGGGGAAGCTGTGGGCCTACAGCCGCTTCAAGCTCTGGCAGATCATCATCAATGTCTGCAACCGGCACATGTGCACCTTGCTGAGCCATGGCACTACAGCCTGGCTTGTGAGCCGGCGTCTGCAGGCTACCCGCCGCGCTTAACACCTAAAGCTGCACAATCAAAGACCTTGGCTCCTGAACGGATCTCGCAAAGCAAAACCCAGAAACCAAAGACGTGTCGTGATGTTGTTGCTTGTCACTACCTCTCTGTGTTGGGGATTGGGTCCAGTCCCCGAACCACGGCACCAGGAGATTCCAGAAATCCTGGCTGTACCGCGGCTCCGCTACCATACGAACTTTTCCACACTTCCTGAGCAACAAAGCCTCCGGGTCATAACGAAATCATCAAGTGCACACCTAAAGGAGCGAAGGTAAAATGCATGATAAAATCAAGTACGAAAACATGATACTGAATACCGGAAAATCGTTCGTATTTTGGGAAACCCAAACGGTTTGTCCCGTCGTTTGAACCAAAAGGCAGCGGCTCTAGGGTGGCAGGGCATAAGGTGTAGGGAAAAATCAAATCGCAAAAGGCAGGACAGCATGAACTCCCGAACATGTGTGATGCATGCACTCTCGGACAGCTTCGATCTTTTTCCGGATGTGTGTTGGGACCGCTCCATTGGATTCAACCTCTCAGCCTACAGGCACAAGTGAGGGAGCCACAGCACTTACGGCAGAACGGGGTTGCAGCAGCAACCGGTTCCGAAGCATCCCCAACTTTAGAAGAACCCGTTGCAAGGCGGCCCCCGTGAATGCACCGATTTACCAGCTGGTCTTATCCAAATGCTTCTGCCTCTTCGTTGCCTTCGGCTCATGCCGCTTCAAGTTTGACAACCTGGATTTCTCAGACAAGAAGCCCGCATGGGAGTCCTGAAGGCGGTTGAAAAGATCAAGCGGGATATCCGATAGCAATAGCGGGATCCGCAAGGCGGGATCGAAATTGTCAAGTTTGAGATTCGTCAGATCATCAGCGTCCTGGTTCTCCTCGCGCGGGCGCCATGACAACTTACACACCTTATTGGCTTGTCGCAGCGAAACCGACATCTGCATGTGCAGGCCCTGCACAGGCCACTTGTTGCTGATCCCTTTCTCAAGTACGGCTGGCGTGGCTGAATTGTCCGTGCCAGCATGGACCTGCAAGCGAAGTGCATCGCGACCCCCGGCCGGCTCCAAGTGCTTAAATGCAACCAAGCCAGCATAAGAAGCCAGCAACTCCGCAGCTGTCGAAGCCCATTCGGATGACCCATCTTCCTTGAACAGTGCCGGCATATCAGAAGGGAAGACCTCTAACGCAAACCAAGGTGCCCGGCGGGTGTCCAAGCCATGGTCAAGAGACCATCCACCCAGCACGATCCGTCCCGCCTCGCATTTGGCATCTGTCCTGAAGGCTTGCCGCTCGCGGGAAGGCCAGCACATGTGAACAGCATCCAACCGAGCTCCATTCAAGAATTGCCAGCGGTAAAACCTGAGCACGTGGATCACCATCTCAGGAGCCTGAGCCGCAGTGCTCCGGTTCAACGCATTGCCCCAAGCGAAGAGCGGGGCCAGGAACGGTTTCAACCATGTGAGGAGCCGGGTCACAAAGCTCAAGCGACCCGTGAACTCAGACAGTGCCCGGCCGGTCACCACCCAATTCGCGGCTTCCGCACGGTCCACCCATTCGACGATCCAAGCAGCACGCTTCTCGGAAATCCCGGCAGCCCAGTCGTAGTAACTGATGTGATAGCCGATGTAATCCACGTTGACACCCCCTTTGAACTTGTGGAAGGAGAAGGGCGTCCCCAAGACTTCCATCGCCAAGAAGAGGAGCCACAGCGTCTCAAATTTGTCTGCACCATACACCACCACGTGAAGGTCATCGACATAAATTAGCATGTAAAATTTATCAAGATGCAACACGCGGAAGGTCCACCTTCCCACAGTGGCGAACAAGCGCGTCCAGTAGTAAGCCGCCGAGCTGACCCCGAACGTTCCTACTTTATTGAGCCATAAGACACGTGAAGTGCTAGAAGATTTACATGCTAACCGGGGCCAGTCGCACTCCCTGATTTTTGCATTCCTGTGGGCCTGACTAATGTCGGCACAAAGTGTGAAAGGGGCTTCTTTACTTTCTTTGACCCGGGAGGCAACTTCCTGAAGATCTTCCGGTCCTGGGACTTGCAGCTTGTCAAGGATCTTGATCGAGTTATTCAAGTTGATGCCGTGGGTCCCATCGTGTAATGGGCGCACATCACCGTTTGCCTTGGTGACGGCGCCCATGGCCGCGATGAGTACCGAGTCCTCGCCGTACTTCCGGCGAGCTTCCAGCTCCGTAGTGCAAAGCATCAAGCCAGCTTGTTCATCCTGACGGAACTTCTCCTCCAGTTGATCAGCATTCAGCTCGGCTGAGCGGTAATTCAACATCGACGGGTCAAAATCAGACTCATCCAGTTTCTTGAAGTGCGTGCGTTTAGGGAAAACCTGAGGAGTGCGGGGGATTGGCCTATCCCACCCCAAAGGAACACCCTCGGCGAAGCATTCATTCCCTTGGTCAAGGATTTCGTAGTCCGGATCCCCTAGGAGCTTAAGCGATTGGGACATCATGTGCAACATGAAAGGCTGCCCTGCCGGCTGGCACATGGCCTGTTCAGGATCGGGCAGGGTCTTAGCGATCTGTTTACGCGTGTCCTCAATCAGCTTGCTGCTGAAAGGTGAAGATGGCATCCGTCCCGCCGCTAAGAGGTAAGCAGCTTTACGGAGGTCTGGGATGGTCGCATGCACAGCGCGTTGGAGGATCTTCCGAAGATCCTGTGCATGGTCCCACTCCTCCGAACTAGCCTTAGCGTTCCTTGCCACCGGTCGCCATCGACCCGGCGAGCACAAGCCGAAGCCGTCAATCAACTCTCTCCACTCAGGAGTGTGCCGGCACCTAATGGGAGGACCCCGACACCGACTAGTTGTAGGATCAAACTCTTCATCGTCATCTGTCACAACGGCACGACCTGGGGAAGCGGGAAGACAGTGACTAGTGTCGGGTGCCGGCAGAGTGGGCCCTTCTGCCGGGGTGTTAACCGGAGCCTCCGGGGTGGTCCCTCCCAGAGGGGTGCTACCGGGGTCAAGGGCCCCGGAGGGCACCTCACGGGGGGTGCTATCAGGAGACAGGGGGCTGCAATCATCGGCGACATCATTCTCACCCCCTTGCTTTAGCGGAGCAGAGGATGGCAGCACAAAGCCCAGAGTTTGCAATGTGTGGACATGTTCTGAGCTGAGAGCGCACGGGTCCCGAATCGTGAAACCCACCAGCAGGACACGGTCGCCGTGCCACGGCTCGGTCTGATGAAAGCACGTGTGAGCCATGAGACGTTGAGGTTGTTGTGCAACGTCCAACAAGCAGCCCGGGCGGAGCACACCGCGCACTTCACGAAAGACGAGTCCTTTGGCATCCTCGACCCAGACGTGGCCCTGATTGAAATTTGACAATGCGAGGAGCAAGTTAGGAAAGGGGGCATTCCGGCTGTCACGATGCATCTCTGCTTTGCAATTCAAGAAAATCGCGAAAGAACTGAATACCTCGCCCGGGAAGGACGAACGCAGCAATTTGGTGAAGCATTGCAAGGACTTTGGGAAAGCCGCGCAGCTCTGCCGCAAACCGTGGAACGGGCCTTTCCGGAAGGCCCCTCCGAAGAAAGCCTGTCCTGAAGAAACCTTTTCACCTTGAGCAGCTGGATGCGGCGCTTCCAAGGGCAGCAAATGGAAGAGGGCCTCAGCATCATGGGTTGTGATGCCCGAATCTCGTTCAAGGAGGAATGCTGCAAAAGCTTCGGCACCTGCAAAACCTTGGTCAGTGGACCGATGGTCCGAAGCGAACGCACAAGACATGTCAGCAAGTTCCTGGAAGAAGGGTTTCGGGAAGGGCTGACTGGTGGCCCAATCAGCACCCTTTCGGCCCACAGCATTGTGATGAACATGTGGGCAGCGGCCCAATGGTCCTGAGTAAAATCCTTGCAAGTCGAATGTGGGCCAAGCGAGGTCCGGAGGCTCCACACTCATGTTTGATGCGATCCGCGTAGGATGCGGCGAGGCCGCACCATACATGCACATGTGCACAGCCCATGTGGATGACCTCGTGCACTCCTGTATTGCATTCCGCACCTCAGGCCACTGCCAAATGCTAGCAGGTACGTCCAACGATTTAAGTTTGCCCAAGTCTTCTGGATGCACCAAAGTCCAACCTAACCCAAGTTCCGAAGAAACCCGAAGCAGCTTTAAACACTGAGTGACAAGAAAGTCCTCGGCTGCAACGGCTTCCGACATCTGTTTGCTCAACCAAGGGAACCCATGAGGAAAATTATTGCTCCGGCAAGGCTTCGGCCCACTGCGCGAGGGGCCACTGTGATGCCTGGCGCGACTGAAAGTCTTGCATGGCGGGAACATGAGCACGGCCTGCCAAGTTCCAGTGGCTAATCGACTGGAAACGGAAGCCCAAGCATCAGGGCTCGACCAGTCACCAAGTTCATTATCATTGAAGAAGTGATCAACCTTAAGCTGGATCCCGTTCTTCTCCACGGATTCTTGTAAACACTCATGCACTGATTCAAACACCTCACGATCTGACACCACCAGCACGTTAAGTCAGCTCTTCTGTTCACTCTTCCCTTCATGCTGAAGCTGCCAATGCTTCCACGTCGGATGGGCTCCAAAGCAGCCCTTGACCTGGCAGCAATGCACCATACCGCAGTTTCCATCACATCCTGGCCCTGAGTACGCGAAGCAGATGAAACGCCCATCGGGCGTCCGCGACGATGTGATGCTCTGAGACTTTCCCGGGCCTTCCTTTCCATCCTTCCCTTTCTTTCCTTCCCCTTTGCCTTTCTTGCCTTTCTTTCCCTTATCGTGCTCGCCTCGCTGAGCCCAAGAGTTGCCTTTCCATGCATTGCGATTCCACTTGTTGCTCTCATCCCAAGGTTCCCAGCTCTCAGTGGCCCGCTTCCCGCGATTCTGCAAAGCAATGGGAGATGTAAAGTACTGCTCCTTGATCTGGGCATCCTCGGTCACCTCACGCAGGG